GCAACTTCAGGACCAATGTAGTATACCAGTGCTCTAAAAGTCACTTATACAGCAGCTGCACTGTGCATCTATTTTGTGTGCCTTCAGTATACTGTTCCAAAATGTACAAACACAGTAAGTGTTAACTTATTCTGGTACCCCTTCTCCCCAGTTACCACTCTCTGCAGTGCAGCCATAGCACCAATGTCAAGGCAGACAGTGAAAGGGTTACATTAGTAAATGACAGAGAAGATTTTGCACATTTAGATGACTATGTGAAAGATTAAGATAACTGTGCTCATAATGAAGAGGAAGGTAAAGTATAAGTGATGAAGACAGTGATAATGATGTTAACAGTCAATGCTATTACAGGCACACATACTTGGCAAAGGTATAATAAATTATACTGCACAAAGGGGTATGTTTGTAGGAGTTTGTGGAGATCAAGGCAATACAGAGGCTGTTGGACATTTCTACATTAATTTTTAACAAGGAAATTAACAGCTGTTCTCAGCAATATAAAAATATAAATGGAAAAATTAAGAAAGAAATTGATCAAAAGATCAAGGATGGATGAAAGGAAGCTGGGTCATGGAAGATGAAATTTACACTACTTTAGCACTGCTCATTCTACTGAGCATTATTCTAAAACCAAGCCTTAAGATATATTTTTATGTAATCCATTGGTAACTATGCCCATATTTGGCTGTGTCAGTTCTCTGGTTCAATCTGAACCGATTTTTAATTTCTTACATTTCACAGAAAACAGCACCAAAAGTATGAATATGTACATTCCCCCAAAAAATTCAAAATAAATCCTATCCTTGATCATTTAAATTCTTAATTTAAAATCCTCCATATTCTTAGTCAGAATATTTCCACAGACGAGACATTAACCCCATGGAATAGGAATCTCTGTTTCAAGGAGTGCCTCCCTCTAAAGTCCTCACAGTTTGGCATAAAAATCTTTGAACTATGTGAGTCCAGTATTGGCTATGTGTCGGCATTCATGGCTTTCACAGTACAGTTCCCTCTGATCAGTGGGGGTACAAACTTATTCGTGTCATACAAAGGAAACATGTCACAAGCCTCATGTGAGTATCATAACAGAACATTCTGCTCCTCTTGTAGCTGCTGCTAACCATGAAGGTAGGTGGAAAACACTGCAGAGATTGCATAGAGCAGAAAAGCTGTGCTTCATCTCAGCCCACAGATAATTCATTCATTCATTCATTCATTGTATATTCCATAAATCCATATACATAGATATAGAACCAGTCACATAATTAATATAGTACAATACAAATATAAATATATATGTACAGTTTATAATCATTAAAATAGATAAAAAAAACATGTGTTAAATTTATATAAAAAAAAACAGTCTTACATCACTATACATAAAATTATGCAATATTAAAATTGTTTATGCTATTATCCTTATTTCTAGGCAAATTTGTTACTAAAGAATTCATCACATGTATAAAAAGAGTTTTGCAATAATAATCTCAGTGTGATATCCTTCAATTAATCAAGTGCAGTGGCTAAGGGCAACTGTGGTAAACCCGTCATGTTACTGAGTTCCCAGTTAGGAATTCGCATCAGTATTCTCCAGACATACACCAAGCATGGAATGCATAATACCACGATGTTTGTTCAATAAGAAATCAATAAGAACTGTATTCCTTTTGATACTACCAACATTTTGGTGAACTTGTAAGGATAAGAAGTTATTTTCCACAGAAGTACTGCTCCAAGTGTGATCAGATGTGAACACATATGCAAGGTTATAACACACTCAGCTTAGCGGCAATATACTGAAATCTGTTTACAAAGGTCCCAGGCAACATTAAACTTAGATATTCATGGTTTTCTGCAATCTCTTCAACCAAATGCCAGGAAAAGCATCTATGTCCTTGATGTCATAAAACCAAAGTTCACTGCTAGGTTGTTCAAAGGATACATTATTTTAAGTACAATGGGCTCACAATATAAACATCCAAGATAAACTAAAAAGTGTTAAAACTAAATGAACAGTACCACAGCAATGTAGACTTCAATGTGTTGTCTTCATTTGCATTTACGTTCATGTTCAGCACATCACCCCACTTACTGTGATGTGAAAAAACAGCTGATGAACTCACCAAACTTCTTCAAAAGTTTTACTACCATTGCATTGCAAGATCGATTGTCATCTGCAACAATCCAGTGTATATCAGGTACATGCATCAAGGTCTGACCCAGTCTTGTCAACTCAGCAGCCTGTTCCCTTCGAGGATAGGTTGGCGTAACAAAATAGATTTTTGGAAGGCCTGTGAACTGCTTACCTCTGGAATCCTAGAATAACCGCAAACATGAAAGATAAGTGTGTACTATAATTTTCAGTCTCAATTGGTAGTATTCAGTAAGTCTTGAGGATATAAAAAGAAAATTTATCAGATTTATAATCCCAATGAGGTCATTGGATTTTTTCAATTGACCTAATCCTTCTGGCCACACTATGGCCCTGGGGTTTACTCAGCCTCTTAGCAGAAATGAGTACCAGGAATTAATTAAATAATTTTCCTGGGGAGTAAAGCGCGGCCGGCGCGTTACGCTGAAAATCTTACCACCATCTTTGAGCCGATTGTCAAGGTAATGTGGGACCCATAACATCTCACAACCCTATGGGCCTTCACGGCCTGTTACAGGGATAGCTTTACTTACTTTACTTTACTATCAGATTTATAAAGTTTTGCATGCAACACATATACATCTCTATAGCTCTACATCCCTTAACATGAACCTTGAGTATAAATGATAGACGTAATCTAAAACCGTAGAAACAATTATGCATCATGCACCATGCAATGCTACCCACATTATGCTCCTCAGTCTTCATTTTATCCTCCCCTCCTTTCTTAGTCTTGACAGTGGTAGGCCCTGCCATAGCTCATGCTGTTAGTTACCAGTATCCCAAAGCAGTGTCCTGGGTTCGAGCCCAGGTCAGGTCACGTGAGATTTGTGGTGGCCAAAGTGGCACTGGGGCAGGTTTTCTCTGAGTATTTCAGGTTCCCTGCCAATTATGATTCCAACAACTGCCCCACATTCATCATATATCATTAGTGGCTGGTACAAGAGACCAGATAGTGGCCAATATACCAAGTAGACTCAGTCTCACCCCACCCCAAGAAAGTATAAACTAGTCTTGACAACAAATTTTATACATGTATAAGGATGAACTGCAAACTAGCATTCTCTATAATGACTGGCAAAAAACGTGTGCACACAACACATTAAAATGTGGAAGCAAATGATGAAACTCCTGTCAACTACTTTGAAAAATATGACACACTAATTACAATATATAGTCCAATACACCATGTTCACAAACCAACTGATTTTTGAAGATCAAAACTGACTTACTCTACAGCAAATGTTGACTGCCAAGTATACAAAATAAGTAAAACAATAATAAAATAAACAAAGAAAAAAACACCTGTCACAGTAAAAAAAAAACTCCGTGATTTCGGTCCGCAAGCGAACTATACCGATTGAGTGACCCTGTCACAGTAATGGTAATTTTAATGTTATGTTTGACTTGCTGTAAGTTCTCATGGGAAATCAGTGTGCAGGCCAGAAACCCTTTTGTTCTAGAACCATATAAATTTAAGAACAAATGGTAGGAAACAACAAACCAACTTTAAGATCACTTTAATTGTTTCTTGCATCCTGTTGTGTATTTAATCAATATTAGAGTCAATTTTACCAACCACACAACATATTTTTATTATTATTTCACTACATGTTTCGACCTCAAGAGGTCATCCTCAGGTGTACGAACACAGCTGTATAATTACACGCAATCACATTCGTCTTCTCACTTATTTGATCCTGTATCTTATTCAAGTCGAAACATGTAGTGTAATAATAATAAAAATATGTTGTGTGGTTGGTAAAATTGACTCTAATACCAACTTTAAGATACTATCCTTACATCTGCCTTCAGGGGATCCAAAAAGCCTATGTTTTTAAACATAAATATTCCAACTAGAAGCCAGTCACAATGCTGGTACATGCTCACAAACTTCCTTGGTCACAGTAACAGAGAACTTGGTATGTTCTAAGAAATAGGAATAAGATAATAACAAGGCACACCACATAATTACATATGACTGGCTCTTGGGTTACTTAACGATTTTTTCAACTACTAACTTATGTATTGTCATAGGGTAGAATGAATGTTCCAAAGTTGAACTGGGAAGGAAGTTGAAGTGTTCATGGACTATTTAAGGTACTATCACTGGAGCTACTTGCAGGGCCTAAAGAGAGTTCAAACTTGAAATGCTGTCAATATGAAGCAAATGTGCTAATCCTTCACAGCAACATCCAACAGTCTTATAAAACTTCATCTCTGGGTGATTCCAATATTTATTTGGTACCACAACAATACAAGGGGAAGTCAGTAAATAGGTCACAAACTGAAGTAAAACAGCTGTAATGGACATAATAGGTTTCTTATGTGCATCATTAGGTTGCAGCTCCAGTTTCATGAGAGTCTAAGTAGCAGACGCGCAAGTGCATGTTCAGAGGCTGATTTCAGTAGTCAAAATGGCGACCATATTGAGGTGTATATTACCGAAGAACAGCGTTCTGTTGTGCATTTTTGTTGGGGACAAAAGGACTCAACGCAAAGGATATTTATAAATAGCTGCTTCCTGTTTAAGTGGGAAGTGTTTATCGCGTAAAGCTGTTCACAACTGGGTCAAAAAATTATCTGTAGGATGTTCCAAAGTCATTGATTATGCCTGACCAGGTCGCACTGTTGAGACTGTGACAGAAGCAACTGTGCAGCAGGTGGAAGAGTTGATTTGAGCTGACAGGAGGATAACGATAGACAGTGTAGCAGCTGCACTAGGGTGTTCCCATGGTTTAGTGTACAGCATAATGCATGATTGCTTGAAGTTTCAGAAAGTGTGCGCAAGGTGGCTGCCCACAGAACTGAAGGACTGAGAAAAAATGAACTGAATGGCTCTGTCCTCATAACATCTCTTCATCTTATGTCATGCAGATGGGGAAGATATGCTTAACAGGATTGTTACTGGGGACTAATCATGGGTGCATCACCACCAACCTGAATCAATGCATGCTTCAATACAATGGAAACATCCCAGTTTGCCTTCAACCAAAAAGCTTAAAGTTTAAGGTTATGCCATCACCTGGGAAGGTTATGCTTACCATGTTTTTGGATTCTCAGGGAGTACTGTTACCCTATTGTCTGAAGAGTGATGAAAATGTGGATTCTATATGGTACTGCGATGGTCTGTTGAAGCTTTGGGATGCAATTTGCAGAAAATGTCCAGGCCAACAGGAAAGAGGGGTACTACTTCATCATGACAATGCCAGACCCCATACAGCCTGAGCAACCCAGAAGAGAACTCCAGAACTACAGTAGGAACTTGCTGAAGATCCACCTTACAGCCCTGACCTGGCCTCTACTGACTTTCGACTCTTTAGTCTGCTAAAAAACTGCCTTGATGGCAAAAGTTTCACTGATGATGAAGAGGTTGAAAAGGAGGCAAAGAAGTGGCTGAGACAACAGTGAAAAGACTTCTATGCTGCAGGTTCTGATGCAATGGTAAAGCAATGGGACAAGTATATCAATGTTGGTGGAGGATATGTTGAGAAATAAATTTTTATTCCAGTATATGATATAAACTCCGTCCTAAGTGCAACAATTTATTGTAGGTCTTTCGTCTGTTTCCTCTACACTACATGTCTCGGCCGCAAACGGCCATCAGCAGGTGTATACATTCACGTAGCTGTTACACTGCACTTAGTTTAAAATTTACCTACACACGTCAATTTTGACTTTCATGAACTGGCACTTTTAAAATCTTCAGTTCCAATTTTAAAAAATTCCTTTAAAATTGTTCCCAAATTTTAAAATGTTAAAATTTAAAATTCTCAGGCTTACTCGCCCTATGTCTATAGTGCTGCAGCGGCTGCTTCTTGTTTTCAGCACTGTACAGGTGTTATTCTGTGTAGGCTCCCTGTGTGTGTGTGTGGCTGCTTATCTTAACTATACTTATATAGTAAAGATAAGAAGCCGCACGCACACAGGGAGCCTACACAGAATAACACCTGTACAGTGCTGAAAACACGAACCAGCCGCTGCAGCACTATAGACATAGGGCGAGTAAGCCTGTGAATTTTAAATTTAAATTTTTTTTTTAAATCTGGAAAAAATTTTAAAGGAATTTTTTTAAAATTGGAACTGAAGATTTTAAAAGTGCCAGTTCATGAAAGTCAAAATTGACGTGTGTAGGTAACAAAGATAATGTACGAATCAGACAAATATCAGAGAAGTAGATTCTGTTAACAACGACGAAGGGAACAATTGGGAAGACCTGCGTGTTTTTAAATTTTAAACTAAGTGCAGTGTAACAGCTACGCGAGTGTATACACCTGATGATGGCCGTTTGCGGCTGAAACACGTACTGTAGAGGAAACAAGACGAAAGACCTACAAGAAACTGTTGCGCTTAGGACGGAGTTTATATCATATATCGTATAGAGTGCAACAGGATGCTTAAATATAATATTTTATTCCAGGTTCGAATATCACGTTTTACGTTTTATATCCATTTGTGACCTATTTACTGACTCCTCCTCATATAACATTCCTACAACTAATGATGTACCACACACTTTTGTGAGGTATATGCAGACAGAATGGTTATGGACTGATCAGGATAAAGAACAAAAGAAGTTATGTACTATATTAATATGTCGCCCAATAGTTGCCTGTAAAATCTGAGTACTACTACCTGTCCCATCTGACAGAAAACTGTTGTTGTGATCATGATACTGATGTAAGATATATCCGGTTATTTGATACATTTGCTGCATATAATATGAAGTCTGAATGGTCAAATAACAGGGAAATTGTGAAAATACAGAATACAGCCATTTGTAAGTAAACAGAACCCCAGCAGATTAGAGAGTGCATGATTTACAGTCAATACATGCTGATAATACTCATGGGAGGAAGTTTTATAATGAAAGAGGTAACTACCTTCCACCCTACCATTCCACATTCACAATTCATTAATATTACATTCTCAAGGAGAAACTACATACTTCTGCTAAATGATATGATGTTGTAAATAAGGTCTGAAGGCATTAGTAGCATACAATTAGCATCACTATTTTATATATTAACATTTATTATGTAAATAACAGTACCACTCATTTTTACGAAATCATGCGAGAATTGCAGATCACAGATTATCAGTAAACATCTGAAGAATTCCTTGAAATTTGGATGCTGATAATGTTTCATGCTTTTCAATTCTGGTTATATTCAGCAGTGGTTGTACTCACACAAATACATCCTATCGCTTATGAAAGCAACTAAAAATTACTTCAGTTACAGTAATGCTACAACTGTACCTCCAATGTAATGTGGCACATAAATACATTTTCCTGGTGAGCAAACCTTCTAGCAACTTCTGTCAGTTGAGAAGCCCACACAAAATACAACACAAGGAGCGTCATGCCTACAGTAAGCAGGAACATATTCTTGAGTGGAAGCATTATCTGTTTTCTCACTGACCATTATCTAAAATTCAACCTGCAACATTTATAATTCAATGTGTCACAGTGGCAGACAATGATAAACTATATTCCCACGTACATTTATCTATCAGGCCAGTGTCCTTCATTTCAGGTTGACATAAATTACAGTAACAATTACTACTAACAGTCAACAACACTGTAGCACAATGCTTAATTAAACACACTAAACATCCACATAAAAAATTGTAAGATAACCTTTCTATGCATGAATTTCGCATCTAAAGTTGTACCAGATTATAATATAACTTGTTATATAAAGCTTCGAAACAAATTACCTTAATTTTAAAATATGAAATAATTGATTTCAAGCTCTCACAGTACAAATCACAATTTTCTTTTTAATTCACACGACAGCGCAAACATACACCCTAACATCCTTCCACTCGCCATTTTTACCACTGCATTTTCATTACATAACATTGGCAATCACGGACTTGAATTATGTTGGCAGTATTACAAAGGACTGCAATGGACGTTCTGACATTCATTCACTTTTATTCATGGTCACAGCTGTAAAAACCTAAAACTGAACAAGGTCGGTATTTTTTCATCAAACTAACAGTTCAGCAGGATCGTAAGACAGTACCAGCCGTGCAAACATATAGTTCTATCTCCTGAAACATAACGTCGTGTAGCCCGGAGAGTCAACCGACGTTTTAGAGGAACTAAGAGTAAGCCAAGCACGAAACCAGAATGAAGCAGGCAGCAAGCAGAATTTGGATTATTCATCGACATTGAAAATGAAAGCGATATTTTTCCGAAACGTTGGTTGACCCTCACCGGTCTACACGGCGTTATATCCATGAAGACGGACGTCTTCGTAGCTACCGCTCTGAGAACCTCGAATCCAATGTGGAAACTTACTATTAAGAAAGAAATAGCTAACAAAGGTAAAGGCTAAGATGTCCCTGTGCTTGCTTATGCACCGCGACATAAAGATACATGGAAATGGTGGATGTACAACCCCATGCAATCCTAACCTCAGCACTAAAAGCAGAAGAGTGGAAAACTTCAGGCCGCTTTACCCCGGGGAAATAGACCGCAGTACACACTCAACAGAAGACTGGGTGGGACCCAGAGTCGGTTTCTTTCTCCTTCTTTTTTAATAATATCCAGGTTAAGACGCCAGACATACCCTATTTCACCATGTGGATGGTACCCTCCTGTCGGTGTGCCAGCATTTTCAAAAGTATAAGAAATTATGGTGCAGCTTCCAAATTGGTAGTCTTTCAAAATTTTACTGCCTGCTTCGACCGAAATAAGCATACGTACGATGTAACCTTGTATAGAGAGGAACAAAGCCTTAAACATGCGCCTGCGTAGTTCTGTTCTATTACATCATTGTCCTATTTAATGTAAGCTCAGAGAAAGGCGGAGTGTAACACGAGGAGGGGAAGAGAATGCACGCCAGGTACATGATGCCACCGTAACACATAGCTTAGCCCATGCATGAACAAATCTGAAAAGGAATTTGAGGGACAGAGCAAGTTTGCTCACGTTGCAACACTTCTGACTTGCATTTTGATGGTGACCGATTCGAATCTCGGTCGGGACATCAACTATCATGATAGATCTTCCCTCAGTCCATCTAGGTAAATTCTAGGACAATACCGCAAATTTGACCGGGCAACTTCTTTCTACATTACTTAGAATTCATTATTCACACTGTATAGTCTGAGCTACTGAAAACGTCGTTAAATAAACCATAAATGAAGCAAGCGAAGGGGTCTGTTAGAACATACGAAGGACTGAAATATCTAGGATAGGGGTGTTGGAACTCTGTGAAACCGCGACCATAAGAAATAATACAACAAAATTTACCAGCCTCCCCCCCCCCTGCTCGCCCCTACATTAAAGCTCTTGATATCATTAAGATTACGAAAGAGAAATCCAGCACATTTACTTGTGTCGGAACAGGTTAGAAGTACAAATATGGCTGTCGCTTTGTATGTATGATAGAGAATTCGGTCTGTGGAAGAACTTTCGATACAAGCATTAAGCTATCGAAATTTTCCCGTAAGGTGGATAAGCGCGATTGGCACTAAGTAATATATCAAACCCGAATATTCGATATAGCGACCGCCAATTCACATTCGACATTCGTAATTTGTAAATCAGAGGTAAATGTAAAGTTATCTCTGTACTTAATTAATTAAGAATAGCGCCCTGAAGCGTATGAAATATATCTCCATAATTTTTAATTTCAGCATTGAATAGAGGTGAGTGGTCAGCTTCAAAGCTCCGCCGTTTTACCCCCCGGAAAACAGCCACTGGTACCCACTATATAGCAGACTGGGTGGACGCTACTGAGAAGAGAAAAAAATCTCTTGGCCCTTCCAGGAATTGAACCCCATTCCTCGGCTGTTCTTCACGAAGCCTAGACGCTATACCGAGTGAGATATGACTAAAATTATTAAATATGTAATCAGTACTTGCAACCCACTTAATCCAATCGTAATTTGTCATATCTGTACCGGGAAGACGATCTCAGTGTAGCGAAATAGCCCTCAATAGTTTTGTGTCACTGTGGCCGTGATCAAACCCAAGGTGTCTTGCTCGTAACTGACATGACACACAATTAATTGCCCATAATTAACTCACTTTTGTTCTCAATTATAGTCGCCAGACCATTTCTTATGCTAGATACCGAAGATGCGTCCTTGTTCTCTATACGAACATACTTTAAATATCGAAGACTTAGTTTTACCACGACTTTGTGTAATTCTTCCATCAAATTTGTCCCCGTTGTTACACGTTTAATGATTTGTAGATCAGCCATTTCTTGTGTCACATTAAACTCATTATCAGTGATATGATTAATTACAGCAAGTAGTACTTTCATCAGATGCTAACTAATACGTCTGCAAAGTGCTTGTGTTTGTGGATTTAGAAGCGTAGCAGCTTGTAGGATTTATTTGCTTATTTAGAGCAACTGAAACCCAGCAGGATCTCAACAGCATTTAGAGCAGTGCTTCTCAATCGCCGGGCCGCGGCCCAGTAGTGGGCCCTGGCATCAATTATACTGGGCCGCGAGAGGCTCTTGTGGAATTTGTCATTTTCATTCTCTAAGCATTTTTCATGAATAAATATTTTATAGTGGCAATATTCTGAGGAGAAGCTCAGACACAGAACACCTAAATCTGTGTAGCAAATGTCAGTGACCAAGCCGCATATTTTTAAACATGGAAGTATTCATGAATGAATGAATGAATGAATGACTGTCGCCATTTGGTTCTCACTTCAGTTCAACCCAGAATTAATAAGCTAACATACGGAAAACTGAATCAGAAGTCTCACTAGTCTAACTGAAACCTTCCAAACTCAGTTGTGATAAAAGAAACAAAGTTTAACTTTCCAATAACTTATAATTGCTGTGTTAAAGTGCTGCGTCTTTAAAATCAAAATATTAATTAGTGTTGGAAGTAGTGTTTAGAATTGAGAGATTCATACATTTTTATTTATCAAGTTACATACTTTACATATATAATTATTTGGCGTGTGTATGTGATAATAAGTGTTTCGCCGGCAAGTTGACATCCTTCTGCTTCTTCCCCTACTCAGCTGACTTCTATGGTGAGTTACAATGCATAAATATTTTTCTCACTGCCGTTTTTTTCAAACCAACATCATTAAAATCAAATTAATAATACAATAATCAGTTTTACGCTGAATAACATAAGTTTTTGGTGATCAGCATGGGATATGTCAATGAAAATTAGCACAAATTAATTTAATGATGTTGGTCTGAGGAAACTACAAAATGCTACAAGATTTCATTAGTCCAGTGATTGATAACTAATTTAAATGTAATTTTATGTTTGTCAACATGCCATATGCTGTAATTAATTACTAATATTACGTTAGCTTAATGCATGAACTTTAACAAAACTGGAAAAGTATTTACGAGTAAATTTGTTGGGACTGGGCCCTCGTCTTATAAAAAAAGAACTTACTGGGCCGCGGTCTCATAAACGTTGAGAACCACTGATTTAGAGCAATAACGAAATACACACGACTCTACTTCCGGGCTCCAACCAGTGCAGCTCTGCAGAATACCCAGGCCCCGGGGCACCCATGGCCACCAACAGAGCAGCCTGCCACCGCGATAACGGAGTTGGAACGCATGTCTGAAGTACCCGCACCAGGTCACGCTGCACCCTTCCCAGAAGACCGTCATCCCAACTGAATGCAATAACCATTCAAATTAAATGGCTTCATTCCGCTGTGTTATATATACATATGGGTTAGAAGCTCGAGCACTGCCTCTGTGGTCTAGTGGTCAGAGTTCCCGGCTACAGATCCAGAGGTCCCGGGTTTGATTCCCGAAGCTACCAGATGTTCTGAGAACTAGTGGGTCTGGAACGGGGTCCACTTAGCCTCGTGAGGATAATTGAGGAGTTATTTTAATGACATAGCGGCTTCGGTCTAGAAAACCGGGATTAACGGCAGTGGGAATCCGTTGCACTGACCACGCGACACCCTCTATCCGCAAAGCGTTGGCACTAACTTCGCCGATAAGCGGCGTTCGCTCGGTCGGTATAGTTCGCTTGCAGACTACAGGCCACGGGGTTTGTTTTCTTTGTTAGAAGCTCGATCAATGAGCAACTTTATTTATAATGATTCGAACGGTTACGTGCTTCGGCGTAAGTGCTACGTTTCCATTTGATCCTTTCAATGTAACATGCAAAGAGGAAGTTTTACATTTTTGTTAGTTTTGCTACTTGTGGACTAAGGTAAGTTAATTGCTTTTTGGTCCAGTATTAACAGATACAATTTATATAGATTCCGTTATGACCCTGTAAAACATATATATTATAAAATAGAAGTGATACCAGTGGAGTGACCGTTTTATATAGTCCCTAGGTGATCATCACTGGAGATATCAGTGATGTACTTGAGAGCTGGCTGTGATCTAGCTGCAGGATGTAATGCTGTGGTGTTTCATTGGGCTGTCTTGTGGTGACGATGTTGATGATATGGTCCTTGGGGGTCCAACCCTTTAGGAAAATTGTTGTTCAAGTGACCTCATAAGTACCTCAATAACACTTAAGCTAGCTTCAGTTATCGGCAAAAGCGCATCAGAACTCACTTATTTTTACAGCATCGTGGTTATTCCAGAGGCTTCAATGTCACGGGATAGAAGGAAAAAAGAAAAACATAACACTGATGACCTTGAAAGTAATATGGACGCTCAAGTAAGGATTTTATGTCAGGAAGTGATGATAACATTCCGTCATTCGAATCCGAGCCACTCTATCAGAACTGTAATGCTGAGTGGGCTCAACCCATTTCAGATTCAGCTCAGTTGAGGCCGATGGCTATGTGACTGTTAAATGCAAAGACGAGTGTTTGCGGGAATAATCACATTAGGCTGACTAAACTAGCGCCAGAGTCGACATAATGAACAACAGGAATTCTTAAAAGCGACGTAAGGAAAGGGATGAACGTTACTAAGTACAGAGATAGGCCGCGCCATAGCTCAAGCGGTTAGTTGCTGGCTTTCCACCGCGGCTG